CAAAAACAAATATTTTATCTTTAGCAGCCAATAATATATCATCCATCAGTCAATCACAATTAAATGTCAGTGTTTAAGAATTGCCACAGGAGCAGGCAAGCCAGGCTGTGTTGCTCCCATGAGAAGCATGGTTTTATTTAGAGATCTAAGATCTTGTAATAGTCTACATTTTCCTGACTTCTAGTAGAGGCCAGTTGGGAACTCAGGATTCTTATGAAATTTTATATATATATATGTACCATCGTTATCCAATAATCTTTTAATCTCAATCCCACGTAATTTTATTTTTAATTTATGCTGTTTATCATTGATACCTGTTTATCAAAACACATTTTTCCTGTATTTTCAAAGCCTCCAGTTCTATATATCAGTGCCAATTTGCATTTAAAATATGCAAGAAATAATAGTTGATCAATTTTATTACCAACTTCTCTTTCCATGGTCCTTTTTACATATGCCAGTTATAAAAGTATTTAAATAGCTAGGCGGTGGTGGCACATGCCTTTAACCCCAGTAATCTGGAGGCAGAGGCAGGTGGATCTCTGTGAGTGTGAGGCCAGTGAAGTCTACAAAGCAAGTTTCAGGAAAGGCACAAAGCTACACAGAGAAACCCTGTCTCGAAAAACCAAAAAAAAAAAAAGCATAAATAAAAATAAAAGCATTAAATACAATCTCCATAGGATTTGAAGAGGTAACTTTAGGTAATACTTGAGTATTTTTATAAAATCTTAAAAAGAGGATCCTCTTTTATCGATCCCAATTAACACATTAATGCAAATTGCCAATTATTAACAATGTGGACCAAATGATTTAGCTGTATTTAATTACTGGAAAAAGTAAGTTTGTAACCTCTTTATCAATAAGAGACTATTTAGATTTTATGGGTTTATCTTAGCAACAACATTATTTAATAAGCTAACAACCCAATGCATTTCAGGTGTTATATTTCTATAGAATTTCCAAGAATTTCTAGAAAGCAACTTAAAGAGCAGAGCCAAATTTCCAGTAATGATCAACAGACAAGAGTACACTTAATATATAGTTCAAAATTATGAATCCTGTTCCTTTAGTATATCTACCATGAAAATCCAAACATTTATAAAGACAATCAAAAGAATGGAACATCCTTTATTTAAACAGCATTGACTTAGCATTCCATGTCCTGACTGAAACCATTTTTTCACCAGAAGTTGGGACCTATAAACTTTTAGCTCCTGTCCCTCTCCTTGCCAGCCCCCAACTCTGTTCCCCTTGTCTGGCCTCACAGCTCTGCCTCCGGCCAGCAGGTACCTGTCTGCCTGGGGCTCCAGGCCATCTTGCACTCTGCCTTAGCACATGCCTTTGTCCGCAACCATGCTGGGCATGTGCCCCCCCACACACACCACACACACACTTATATAAGATCTGAGTGTGGACTCTACTTAAGTAATAACTTTAGGGTCTCTTTAACAATGTAAGTCACCATAGACACAAAATTAAATGAACATGTTCCTCACTCCCAATAACAAATTTTCCCTGAAGATAAACCTTAAATGAAAAAGATTACAAAAAACAAAAAACATGGTATGGTATGATTCTTATGATACTAAAGAGATAAGAATATAAATAAATATGAAAGGATGCCCCAAAACACATTAAGCTGCAAATAAGTATTTGTGAGTTCATAGTTTTGAGAAAAATATTCAGAATTACAAAATTAGTACCCTAGAGAAATATAGAACAAACAATGTAGAAGGAAAGCAGCAGTTTTGCATTTCTTTTATTGTCTTAATGTTCATATTAAAATACATTACATTACATTTGTAGAAATATTTTACATTGCATTTACATATTTGAGTCACTTTATACAATATAACATACATAATTACCAACATTTCATCAGAATCCAAATTCAGGCACAATATTCAAAAATAGTACGTTAGTTTTACTGAATAACACTATTTTAGTCAAGCCATTAAAGAAATTTTATGTTAAATTTAATTGTATATATAATATAGAAAATGGGTCATCTTTGCTGTTCAGAATATTCTTGCATATTTGGGCTTAAGTGAAACTCTTTCCTCAATGTACCAATATACTCTAACTTCAGTCATGTACTGTTATGAGATTTCTTTAAAGTTGAGGCATATATTTCATATATATAAATGAATATATATATATACATATATATATATATACATTTGTGTGTACATATTATATTTGTTTTACTATAATAATTCTTTATAGTGTATTTATAGATAAAATACCCATAAAAACCTATTGTTGTTAATAGTCTACATTGAGAAGCAAATTCATTATATAACTTGAAACATAGAATTTATCAATAAGGAACAATCAAATTTAATTAAGATTGCCTCATTTCACATTTATTTATATGAATCAGGAGTTCTGAACATGGTGTGTTTCACTAAAAACGTCTATGTATATCAACCCTGTCTTTACTAAATATCATCCCAGTTTCCCAAGCTATGATCTTAACATGCAATTTCTCACCTCCATGCCTGAGTGAGGATGTATGAATTGTTACTTGACAGCTTTTGGGGAGAGTCAGATTTCCCCAACGTTGTGGCCCTTGAGAAGTTGACCAGAACCATTCAATGATAATGTTTTTCTTTATGTCAAGTGTGTAGTTCTGGTTTATTTATGATAAACAATATTTTAAAAATTCTTCTCTCATACATTAGTTCTTGAGCGCAATTTTCTTCTCTCTACTCTTCCATGTTTTCCTCCCCCACCATTTGTACCCTCCTACTGCTCTTCATGGGCTGTCCAGATCAGTATGTACTGGATGTTCTGAGCATCTGTCTCATCTGAAAATTTACTGTCGTCAAGGTATTTGCTGTTTTCTTCTTTCACTGCTGTTGACTGTACACTTAATAATCTCACTTTGCAAAACTGAAAGTATGGCAGTTGTGAATCATTTCCCATACAAGACATGGATATCCATGAAGTCAAATATAAATTACATTAAAAACGGTTGGTGAATAGAGGAGTAAAATTTGTCCATTAAATATTATGTACTGCTCTAAATCATCCTCAGTGAGAGGAGAGCTCAATTGAGGAGATGAACCATATGAATGAGGGTGGAAGTACAATCTCTGTGGAATGAGCTCAGAGCCTGGAGAACATGGAAGGACCAATGCTGCATCCTTGGCCATCATGGGAAGTGCAGGCAGAATTCCCTTCTCTTCAGAGCAGATTAGTGCTTTATATCACTTAGCTTGGGAAGTTAATGATCAACACTAACAACAATTTTAAAATAGAACAGGTAAACTTACTCCCTCAGAGAGACTTTTTTTTCATTTATCTTTATTAAGAAATTTTCTACTCACTCTAAAGACCACCCACAGATCCCACCTTCTTCCTCCTCCCACCCTCCAGACCTCCCTCCCAAGCCACCCCAAATCCCCACATCTCCAAAATCAAGGTTTCTTATGGGGAGTCATCAGAGACTAAGCAGATCCAAGCCCCTCCCGACTGTACCAAGCCTGCACAAGGCATCACATTTCAGGCACCTGGTTCCCAAAAGCATGACCATCCACCAAGGATAGAACTTGATCACCCTGCCTGAGTGCCTTCCCAAGCAGTTTGAGCTGAACAATAGTCATCCATATCCAGATGGCCCAGCCCAGCCCCGTGGGGGCTCCACAGCCACTCGTCTACAGTTCATGGGTTTCCACTTGTGCTGCCAGTCATCTCTGCATTTCTTTCCATCATGGTCTCGCTGTCCTCTGCCTGCAGAATCCCTACTCTCTCTGGATCAATTGGATTCCCAGAGCTAAGCATGGAGCCTGTCCGTGGTTCTCTGCATCTGCCCTCATCAGTCACTGGACAAAGGCTCTATGATGACGATTAGGGTGTTCCCTAGTCTGGTCACCAGAGTGACCAGTCCAGGTACTATCTAGAAAACTGCTAGCACTCCAAGGTGTGTCATCCTTGTGGATTCCTAAGAGCCTCCCCAGCACCATGCCTCTTCCTATTCCTTTATACCTCGCCTATCATGATATCTCCAACCCTGCCCTTGCACTCTGTCCCTGTTCCAATTGGACCCTCCCATTTTCATATGTTCCTCAGAGAAACTTTATAGCACCATAGTTTGCTTAAATGTTCTCTTTTAATTATATAGCCAAGATTTACATTTGATCTTATTCCAGAAATTTCCAACGTTGAAACTTTGTCTTTTCTTGTATTTTTGGATTTTGTGACAGAGTTTCACAATGCCACCTATGCTGAACTCAAATAAACAATCTTCCCACTGCTTCCTCCTCAAAACAGGGACAGCAAAGTCTGTGCTACCTGCTAATCCACTTGTAGTCTCCCACTTGCCATTTTCTTAATTTAAACTATCAACCTAATGCTTACATATGTAAATGTCTCCAGTATTTATTATTGTGCATGAGATTACTACAGTTCAATTCTAAACAATTTTATTTGAAAGTTTACCTAAACCTGACTTTTAAAAATGTATTTCTAAATACTTTCCAGGGCCCAGAGTTATACTTTAGATGTAAGAAACATGTTGTCTATTAAATATACATTCCCTTCAGTAGCCAACAATGGCAAGTTTCATTACCATCCCTGACCCATTCTGACCTTTTTCATCCTCTTCACTTGTTCTTACTTTCTGACAGCCACCAACACTTGAATCGATGGTCCAGGTGCAATCTGCAATGGTTAACTTTTGTACTAAAGGTGACAATGTCGATTTAAAAAGTCTCATCCTCAGAGAAACTCACATGAAGGACAACACTCCACATAAACCCCACAGGTTAATTCTCTCTGCTACTGTGATATTCTCCATTAAAACAGTGAGTGCTGATTGTTTCAGCACTTATATCATACAGCGTGGTTTACCTGTGTCCCAGAGTACAAGATAAACTGCATTGGGAAGAAACTTTGTAGACAATCAGTGTCTTCTGCAAAGTTTGGTATTGACAGTGTGTTCACAGAATAAAAACTGAGTAGAAGACATGGATAGAGGGATGCAGACAGCACAGCTTTTAGAATTCTCTGACTACACAAGCATGGTGTGTTGTCTGGTAAAAACTAGTGCAGCAGAGCCTGAAAAGGGAAGCATAGTGTCTGATGAGCAGAAAGGGGCAGAATGCTGGAAAGCATGCAGACATGGCCACACCAGTGTTAAACTGCCACCTAGTTGCTTCACAGACAGACAGATAAGATGTAAAGACAACAGAGGTTGCATAAAAGATCACAAAGCTGCTCACTAGGGTGAGGATGCTTTGGGTGGCTCTGGTCTCAGGAGATAACCTAGAAGACAGGGATCTATGGATGTGTTGGACCCTCTGCTTATGTTTGAGCAGGATGAATACCATGTAGCCACTGGCCAACATCATGAGTCCCAAAAAGATGACATCGTTGGATGATATTAGGATTACAATAAGAGTGCTGATCAGTCTCCCAGAATTGATAACAGTACAATATCCAAAATCTTGTATCCCAGTAACATTTCTTCCACCCCTTATGTCGGTTGTATATACTAAAATGAAAATATATAACAACAGCTGGAGTACCCAGCATAGGCACATAAATGGACCAATGATCATGGGGGCTCTGGGCTTGAACTGCGCCCATCTAGAATTACTGGGGCTGATGGTGATGGCCTGAAAGACACTCAGCAGGGATGTAGAGCTAAGAGACACTCCTCTGGCAACTCTATGTAAATATAAGGCAAGTTTACAGGAAACATAATCTAAATAGTAAGTCTGATTAAAAGCAGCAATGGTCTGTGGGATTCCTCTGCAGAGAACCATGAAGTTGGCCGAGGCAAGGTGTTTGACAATCAGATCAGTGGGCTTCATCCTGATTCCAGAGAAGTCAGCAATGATAAAACAACAAAGCAAGGCTGAGTTCCCAAGCATTCCCAGTACAGTCTGGGACAAGAAGAAAATTCTTTCAACCATATTTCTGGAGGCCATTCTGTTATGGCCAAAAAATGTACTGCATGCACAATATTACCTTATATTAATAAGTAATGCTAATGTGTGTCTTCCTGGTAAATAACTTGCTAGGTCTCAATGAGTTGCTATTATTTGAATTGCAGATAATTACCTTGGGCATTGTAGTAAAAATTAAAATTTATTTAGCTATGAATAGGTCTTAGCATTTTCTACCTATTTTGCAATTAATTGCAGGTTTAATATCCACAGTGCACTGATGAGATGATCTAATGATCAAACTACATTCAGATGAATGTCCTGGTTGCAGAAACACTCCGGGTTACCATGCTCCCAGCAACTTGGCTGAAGAAAGGAAACTGTCTGACTCCACAGAAAATAATAACCCCTAACTAAGATGCTATGGACATCTGATACCTAGTAGGTGACTTCAGTTTCCTGTAAAAATGTGGCCCCTAATACCTGGCAGTGACATAGTAGATGGTCATAAACTCAATATCGTGTGGGCACCACAAGCTATGCTTTATGTGTTAAGAAATTTAAAATGCACAAACATGGGTGGGTAAAGAAACATGGGGTAACTGTGTGGAGTGGGTCAAGTATGAAAATGATCAAAATATATATAAATTTCTCCAAGTTAAAAAATGAGAATTAATAACATTGAATAAGAAAAACAATACAACTTGAGAATAAAAAATAGAGTGTAAATAAAAAAATCAAAGAAAATATTCACCATCAGCTGTCAGGAATGATAACAATTTATTAAGTTCTCCTTTTTCAAACACACACATGTAATTTCATTTACATATGTCTTCACGTACTTATATGTGCTTATGTTGACTTTTAAGTGTTTTCAACATTAATATTTAACCTTTTAATTTGGAATGTATTATTTTGAATATAACTCTATCACACTTAAACATGTGTAAAGATATGGAAATAGCAAAAAAAAAACCTTATCAATATATTTACAACAGTATAAAATAAATGTGTTTACTCAATAGGACAATCACTAGTGAGATTCTTCAACTATTATTATTATTTAAATCAAAACAGAGACTTATGGAACTGTTGAATAAAAGAAGCATGGCTTTCGAATTATGGGCCATAAAATTTATCTAATATAACTCTAACTTGATTACAGAAATTGACAGATACTCATATACTCTCAACCAATGATCCAATGGGTACCAAACATAGCACAATAATAATTGACATATCAATTTCATACAAAAGCAATATTTGGGCTGGGAATAGTGACACATACCTTTAATCCCAGTCCTTACTAAGCCAAAGCCAGAGAATGTCCATGAGTTTGAGGTAAGTCAGGTCAATAGAACAAGTTTCAGGACAGGAAGAACTACATAAATAAACCCTGTCTCAAAAATCAATCAAACAGGAAGCAAATTCAGGGGGACATGAACATCGATGTCTGGGGGAAATGGACATATCAGAGGCCCCAGACCTGAGGGATATTAGGTTGCAGTTATTAACTTAGTCAAATACCCATGAACTTGAAATTTGGATACAGAGACACCAATTTACCAGTTACTCCTCTTTTCACAACCTAGATAACAAAGCCTTATAAGAAGAATATTAAGTTCTCACTATGCCACTGTACACAGGCATTTCCAATAAAGAAAAAATCTGCATGCATATAAAGCCCCAGTGGAAAGCAAAATCCTTGCTGTAATTAAGCATAGGATATAAAAACCTGCACCCTCCATAAAATCATGTTGGGGTAGGTCTCTGGCTGATTCTTCCCACTATGAAAATTCAACCTGTGCAAGAGCCCTTTCCTGAAAGAGAAAGATCATTTTGGAAGTCTCATTTCACCTACATTCCAGTACATGCCCTGTCCTTTGAAGACTGGTACGTGAAGAAAAGCAACTCACCTAAGCAGATAGGATGCATCTGTGAAGCTGGTTGCTGGATGGGTACTCAGTTGTCACTAGGATGTACAACAGTCAGATAGCTACAAAGTTGACAGCAACCCCAAGATGAAGGATGGATGTTCATAGCTCTCATACCCTAAGAGGATAACAGGGTGATACCACGGGAAGGAACCATGACAACGATGCTGAGGGACCTTACATCACCTTTGAAAAAAATATACAAGAGAAAATTTTAACTGAGTAGTGAGCATCACAAAAGGGCAGGCTAGAAATGTAAAGTCCTTCTTCACTCCTGTGGTGTCAGAAGTTTAGAGTCCCAGTAGTAGAATCAGGCAGTGATTATAATCATGGAACCAGGGTTCAAAGGGAAAGTGTGAAGTTACAAGTACACTGTACTTTGGGATGCATCATTATGAAAATGACTCTTATATTTGAAGGGACTGGAAGTTTTACTGGTCCTCCCAGGTAGAGTTCAAGTGAGGTCATTTAAGATTTAATACCTCTATTCAACTATATGCTTAGACTTTGTGATTAAGTCTAAGCATATAGTTGAATAGATGTATTAAATGCATTTAAGAGAACATTTAAGAGAATAGCGGTATTACCTGCATTTAAGAGAACAATATAATGTGTTGGTACTGTGTTCCCCAAAATATTGTGTATGCTAATAAACTTATCTGGGGTCAGAGAATAGAACAGTCAAAATATTAAACATAGAGAATAGGCAGTGGTAGCACACACCTTTAATCCTAGCATTGTAGAGCCAGAGATCTCTCTGGATCTCTGTGTGTTCAAAGAAACATCCAGGCATGGTGACTCATTCCTTTAATCCCAGAAAGTAAGCCATTAATCCCAGGGAGTGATGGCAGAAAGCAGAATGGTATATAAGGCATGAGGCCAGAAACTAGAAGCTTATGGCTGGTTAAGCTTTTAGGCTTTTGAACAACAGTTCAGCTGAGATTCATTCTGGATGGGGACTCAGAAGCTTCCAGTCTGAGGAAATAGGATCAGCTGAGGAAATGGCAAGGTGTGGTAGCTGTGACTACCATGGAAATCAACCCTGCACCCCTACACCATCACCCATTGCAGTCCCAGTTTCAGGCCAGTCTTCAGGAAGACTGCCTGCAGACAGATCAGAATAACTACAGACAGATTAGACTACCACCATCCCACAACAGACCCTGTAACCCACAAGCCCCACTCCCCCCCAACCTTAGACTTAAAAAAGATTACAACTACTCCCTGAGACAGTGCCTATGAGCACCAATTGGACTAAGAGCTACTCCCTGAGACAAAGAGTCCATCATCACCTAGTAGACCAAGAGCTCCACTGCTGCAAGAGTATCAATCAGACCAAGAGAGCCTCCCTCAGACACGGACACCACATGCACCCAGTGGAGAAAGATATGAGTGACACCAGTGCAAAAATACAATCAGCAACAACAGCAATAAAAACAGTATGGTTCCATCAGATCCTGCATCAGCAAGACCTGAAATTCCCAACACAGAAGAAACAGAAGAAATCGACCCTAACAATTACCTTCAGAAGATGACAGAGATCTTTAAAGAGGAAATGAAAAAAATACCTTAAAGAAGTGGAGGAAAACTGAGAGAAACAGTTCAGGATTTGAAAACTGAAATCAAGACAATAAAGAAGATACAAACTGAAAGAATGCTGGAAGTGGAAAATCTGAGTAAACAAACAGGAAC